AAAGCTGGGGGGGGACCGGAGGAGAGTACATCAGTCATGCACATCCTTGTAGCACCTTCCCACAGCAAAGGTGGGCTCGAAGGGACCTGTGCAAGCAGTACGTGAAAAAAAAAACTTATTTTTTTTTCTTTTTTATCACTCTTCTATTTGGCACTTGCACCAGGCTTAGCTCAGGGGAGGGGTGAGATTGAAACCCAAAAACCAAGTGTCGGAAGCTACGGCTTGGCGGGGGGTCTCACCTCCGGCCGGCGCTGCCCTTTGGTGGCCGTGGTCGGGCCGGGCTCAGTGTACCTCCCTTCCCCTTCGGGTTTTCCCATGTCGGTCACGGTGAGCACGCTACGACCCGCTGCACCCCCTCTTATCAATAACCGGGCTGGATGCGTGCCACGCTAAGATCTGCGCTAATCATCGAGCAATTTCGCCTTCAGAACAGATATTTATAAACCGTGCTTTCTGTTTATCCAGCCAGGTGGAACATTTGATAGCTGTCTTCCACCACAAACACATTTTTAGCTGGAAATTACTCCCCCTGGTTATCTGCGGGCGCTGCCAGCCCTGACAAATGTCCCTGGGCAGGAGCTGATTGGCTCCGCGTGCCCGGGGCCAACTTTAAATTTCAGCAAAGTGGGCATAGCCTCCACGGTTTGCCGCTGGGACCTGCTTCCGACGGCGAAAGGTAATCTTCTTACCTAGTTTGCCTGCCCTCTCTCTCTCTCTCCCCAGCCCTTCGGCTCTGCCCTTCCCCAGCAGGGCATCTCCTGCTCTTCCCGCTGGACCAGGCGCGGTGGGGGCCGAGGCTCGGATGTGCCCATCTCCGCGTCGCGCTTACTTCAGCCTCCGTTGCTTTGTTCTGCTGATCCTTGTGCCTGAATTTCCCTCCGATGTTTTCTGTAGCAACGCTTGCATGGCTGAATATAGGCTCCGGGTTGGATCTGCAAGCCCAAGCTAGGTTGGATGGGTGAAATGAGAATTATTAGCCAACGGAGCTATATTCTTTTGCCATTTATATCAGTGCTGTTGAAAACAGCGTGCGAGTTTCTTAATTCAGCCTTAACGACTCTGTGGCTTAGCCTGCAGGAGTTTTGGTGCATTTATTGCAAATATCCACTAAAGCTGCTTTGGCAGAGTGAATTAAGAAGTTTCAACGCCCAATGTCAGAGCACCCAGCGGGTGCTGCTGGCCGTGCACTTGTCCTTGCCCCGCTGCCGTACGCACGTGGCGAGAGCATCGCTTTGGCTGCGGAAAGGCAGAGCGATGCCGAGGGCCATCGCAAAGGCTGGGGAAAGCCGGGATCGCTGGATAACCCCGCTGCCATGGGGCCTTTGGGACAGTGGCAGCTTTTGGGTTGCTGCTGAGCGGGACTGTTGGGGACCGCAAATCCCGGGAAGATAAACTCCAGTGATGCTTCTCTTAACATCCCCAGGAGCTGCCCAAGATGCAAACAGCCCTGGTGTGCCTGTGCCTCTGCCTGCTCAGCACGGCCCTCTCGACACCGGTCAGTATGGTTCTCCCCAGCTCCCCA